ATATATATATATATATATATATATATATATAAAGGTATATATTACTACTTCCAAATTTTTTTAATAATGCTTTAAAAAAATATTTTTTTAATAAAAAAGTTATTGTGTAAAATATATTGTAACTTGTTTCTTATAAAAAGGCAAAAGGTAATATTAACTTTAAAGATAGTAGTCAACATTTCTCTAGTGCAAAATACATTTTTTTTTGTGACCAAATTTTTGTGTTAGTTATTCTTGGAGACATTTATGTACCTTGTACTTAAGGTTGAGAGGGGAGACAAGGTATTTGGAAATTAAATATTCCTAGAAAGAGAGTTGCTTACAATATTTATGCATCTCATGCTTAATATTGGAGGAACAAGTGTCCTATCTATAAAATATTTCGAGGAGCCTCAATTAAATGACAAATTAAACAGAGGGTTGGTTATAGTCTTCACATACCTCATGCTTAAGGCTGAGAAGCAAGTGTACCATCTCAAAAATATTTTAAAAAAACCTTGATTCAACAGCAAAATACGAAGAAAGTCACATATAACCTTTACGTACTTTGTGCTAAGAGGCAAGTGTATTGTCTCAAAAATATTCCAAGAGGCTTTAACTAATCAATATATCTCTAACATCTTCCTAATCTCATGTTGCCTACCCATTGTACAATTAATGCTTAACAATTTGAATCTACAAGTTACTGGATATTTACCAAGTTGAAGGATTTAATACGAGGATCAACATGATTAATGTATATATTAATGTAATAACATGATGTCAATCATTCTAAGATTTTAGGGTTGAAATTACGAAAATCATAAGACTTATAAATGCAAGATAAACGAGTGTAAGATTCTAATCCAAGGCAAAGATAAAGCTAGATTACACTTTTGAAATATTCAACATTTTAGACTGCAATTAGGGTTCTCTAAATGTAGTCCTTAGTGCCAATTCTATAACATGAGACTAGATGTGTCAAATAGTTCAAGCCGATTTGACTTAACTTGACTTTCATAGGTCAAATGTTATTTAAGGTTAAGCTGACTTGACCTATATTTTTTTGGGCTATCGTTTTTTAGCATAACTTGACCTTATGTCAGGTTATCAAGTCAAATTGACCTAATTAAAAAAATATTTTTTAAAAAAATCAAATCATTTTTCTATAATAGAAAAAAAAGTATAACATGATCAATTGATATTAATTTTTTTTCATGAAATACCTATTAGCTTTACATGTATACAATTTTCCCCAACTATTATATTTGGATATATTTACCCCATCAACTAGATCAATATTTTCATAATAATTTCATGCCTCAAACGTAATAGGCTTAATTTTCTTAATTTTTTCAACATCTTGGTCTTTGTCATTAATATCCTAACTTTTACTTTTATCGTAACTCAACTCCAAGGGCATAGTTACCAGCATAACTACATTTTCGTATTCTTTAACCGATACAAAGATAATGAGTCATGAAGTTAAATTATCAAGGGAACAACAAGAATGATGAAACTATTATAGCACGATTAACCTTAACTTTAAGCTTATAACCATAATTATATAAACGAATACAAAAGAGTAAAAAATTATTATTATTATTTTATTATTTTACAGTATATTACAAATTTATATATAGATTGACACTAATTCAAATTATTTCACTTATTAATTTTAGAATCAATTCGTAAGCTTGCGTATCATGTAACGTCTAAAATATAAATATTAACTGTAATTTTATACGTTTATATATTTGCATATAA